CTCGAGCCACGGAAGGCGGATGGTCAGCAAGAGGTCGGGTAGTGATAATAATAGTGCCAGACCCCGGAAAACAGCTGAAAAGACCCCTCAGGATTGAATATTGAAACAGAAGAAGTTGACAAGAAGTCCACGAAGCACCACTTAACGGAGTAACTTTACTTTGAACTCTTTAAATTTGAAAACAAATAAAAACAGCGAAAACAAAAAGAGAGCCACGAATTATTTGCTAAACATAGCTTTCTTCATGAGAGCCAAGTGAAAGGTTGAACAGCGCGTAGCTGGGGGCCAGAACGCTTGGGAAAAATGAAATTTTAAGCGCAACGCTGTTTTTGTTTTGTAAATAAACCGTTAAGTAAAGGTTACAATATGGAACAGTTTGGTCAAATTTCGATCTTTAATGAGCAGTTGTTTCCTCTCTCCTCCAGGTTTTCTGTATTTGCAAACAGAGATATTTCGACTTTACGGCTCCTTGAGTATCAGTTCAACCTTTTTTTAGCTAGGTTGTCGACTTAACTACTTCCTCAGAAGCATGTCTCCAGTTAAAATGCACAAAAAACTTTTTATTCTTTGTCGAGTTCGTGGCTTTACCCGCAATTATCATCATCCACGAGAGAAAAACACTTCTGATACACTAATTGATATTGATTTTGTCAAACCTTATGTTACTTCTAAAACAGGCAGCTTCTTTAATCATCGAAGAAAAACTTTAATTTTCACAATTTTTCTTTAACTGAATTCCCTCTGAACCTAGTTAGCTGGTCCAGTTATGTAACTACGTATACACGGCAGGAAAACTCTTTCTAAGAACGTTTTGACCAAATTGAATGAGAAAATTCTTTTGACACTCGGTATCAGGAAAGGAAAGTTTATCAACAATAGACATTTTTACTGGATGCCACGAAAATCCTAATATTGTACCCAGATCCTGCAGTGTAACTGTGACTGGGCCGAGTAACCGTTTGGCGATAAAAAGTCTGGGCAAGAGAGTAGGAAAATCCAGCTGCCTTATAGATATTGAGTCATGTTAAAACCCTTGAATACGACTTAGTAGACAAGAAATTTTAATAGAACTAAGAGCATGGCTAGGAATTTGTGCAAACAGAAATACTGATTACTTTAAACCCAAAATTTTAAAATATTATAGCTTTAATTAAGCGATGTAAGTACAGCTCGAAGAGGATCAAGAGAAAACAATGTTTGGTTAATTTATGTTTAGGAGGATCGAAATCCGTGGGTGTTGACTGATTTTTGTTTTCTTCACCAGCTAGTCATTCAGCAGTAAAGAAACGGTTTTATACGGAAGAGTTAGGGCAAAATAAAGCAGCGGTGCTAAGTGCTTCACTTACGACTAACTACGGTTAATATCTTATGCCCTGTGGCCTTATGTGCCACATGGCATGAAAAAGATAGGTGAAGGTTAACGGTTCAATATCTTTTACCCGTAGATATCATAATAACCGCCATACTAATGGTGCATAAAGAACAACTGTTGCAAAATGCACCCGCAGAGCCCTGTGCATTATCTTATTCTATCGCGCGATGTTAAGTATGTTTGGCTTGCTCAGCTGTTGCACTACTGTCGAACCTGATCTTTGCGGAAAATGTTTGTATTTTTACTGCCATCGTAGAGATTTCTAGACGTGGTCATTTAAATTTAGTAGAAAGCCTCGTGACCGGATAGACCAGATACATTGCAATTCTTTGGACAGAATGAGTGTTGTCCCTATCATTTTTTGAACAGACAAGTGTTTCGCTCGCTCTGATGCTTAAAACTTGTGAAATTAAAACGAGTGATATCTTGCCTGCTTCCAATTACTTAAGCCAGCCATACTTTCTTGTAAAAAAGAATACTTAGATAAGGACTTCCTTTTTTAGCGTTTTGTACTTAAACTGCCGCTTCGAATCGTCCCTTGCATCACGACTTGTGAGCTTGCGGGTGTGCCTTGCATTTATTATCACCTCTGAAAGGAAACACACCTCCCACTACCAGCAATTCCTGTAATCATATATATTCTGTCAGTCCTAATTATGTAAAAGGGTCTCATTGGGAATAACCGTTAGTCGTAAAACTGTTATAAAATTGAGCTATTAAGCGTAAAAAAATGACCAATTTCATCCATTTGTCGTAAAATAGGTAACTGGCCGTAAAATAAATTTTTTGTGACAGCAATGGAAAGATATTAATCGTTAGCAGCCGTAAATAAATTGGCCAAAATTTTGACCGTTACCCATAAAAGCCATCACACCATTGAGGCCCTCGTGCAATAGGTCCCACTTGTAGTTCCGCTGTAATGCAGTCTGTTGTTACTCAAAACATCCAACATATATTTGTCAGCAGAGACTATGGGACGGTGCAGCTACACGTAGGCTAATGTACAGGTCTTATCACGCCAACACGGCAGAAGCCAATAAAGAATTAACAAATAGAATCCAAATCATGGTGACATGTGTTTGTTCAGAAATAGATCAGAGATGTTGTCACATATGTAAAGAACAACAAGGTAGCACACAAGGCGCAGAAACAAAACAAAACATTTTTATAAGTCTTATACATATTTTTCTACAGTTAAGTGTTTGTTCTTCAATCAAACGCAAGCTTGCAGAAACTCCTCCCATCTCGCGTGACTTGCAATTCGCACTTGCCCTCGTTCGACTGAAAAACGCAAAAATATTAGGCCTTTACTGGAGGTTAATCAAAGGCTGGAAAATGAACTGTAGGTTTCAATTAAGGAATAACGCCCGATTTATTTTTCACACCTTAAAAAAATGAGAGTTGTTCGAAAGTTAGATTTCCGGCCATAGTAGGTGTTAATTGCGAAGGGAAAGCAACCTTTTATTCTCGAAACCATTAAGAAACAATTGTACTCCAAGATCATGAACGCTTTTTCCTGTATTTTTGAAAAGGAATGCAATGATCTAAGGGAGCTCGCTGGTTCAGCTAGGTGCCAGTTTGTGAATTGGCACCTCATGATTGGCTTACATGCACCTACGGCACACAAAATGCCTGATGCTAAATAAGAGTGTAAAACCTCTAAAAGGTAACATTTTCTCAACAATTGAATCAAATGATTTTTTCTTTCACATTCGAATTCGCACACAACCCTCCTCTAATAGCTATAGCTAGAGTGGAAGGAACTGCTTATCACACAACCAGAATGGCAACTTTACATGCTAAATTACTTGGTGCATACTATACGGATGTTTGAATGATTTAACATTTCTTCGGCATTAAATCATCGCAAGATATTTATTAGATCAATCTATTCAAAAATCTGGTAACACAAAAACAATTATTTTGTTTTACTCGCTCTAGTAATCACTCGCTATAGTAATCACTTGTTTTAACTATGTTTCATTAACATGCTCTCTATTATTGAATAGGCACATATATATCTCTTTCGATCATACGTGCTTTTTTACAGAGGAATAATTCCGATACCTCAAAACTTCAATTATATGCTGCTTCGTCGACTACACTAAACTACTAAATTAATCTTTGACTCAATCAATTGTCAAATCACTTTTCTTCGCCGTTTTTTATCACACTGAAGAAGTGTTCCAATTCAGCACGTGCAAGTGGTAACTGGCTTCTGCTGTCAGGGGATGAAGCAGTTTTCTTCTACCAATCCAACATTGTCTGTCCTAGAACACGTCTTATGGTGTATTCAAGGTGGTCTAACGCGGGATTGCCTCTGTGAATTTTTTCCTTGTGCAGATCAAATATCCTTTTCTCATCTAGGCCATTAGGGATCCAATCACTCTCGGTTCTTTCCGTCAAGAAAACCATAACCACTTTGTTTCTGATTAGTTCTTTGTTTTCTGTGTCAACGTCAAGGGTACAAATGAAAATAAAATTAACAAATGCGAGTTCAAGAGATACAACTAGTTTGCATAGGGGAGGTAGCTACACAAATACTTTAGCACGGATAGAATCCGTTTGCACGTTCAAACTCGGTGTTAATTGTTTGATGTAAAGCATCTCGTTGACATCAAACAATTAACGCGTTGACATCAAACAATTAACACCGAGTTTGAACGTGCAAACGGTTCTATCCGTGCTAAAGTATTTGTGTAGCTACCTCCCCTATGCAAACTAGTTGTATCTCTTGAACTCGCATTTGTTAATTTTATTTTCATTTGTACCCTTGATAATGGCGTCATGAAGTCGCCGAAACGTCGGGATTTTATATCGTTCGTTTTTACCTGTCTATGTATTACTAAATTTTTTTTATCTTTATTAATTCTATAGTAACAATCACACGGGGCCTATTACCTTTCAGGGTTCCAGAAGGGAGGGGCCTATTAGAGAGGAAGGGAAGGAGATATGGACTATTTATGATGTAAACTATGTCTTTCTCAGTTTCAATTTGCTCACATATGGAAAGGAAGAAAAAAAATTGCTTTTAATTAAGCACAGATAAACCTCAGCCGTAATTCGCTTACAGCTTACATTTTGAAATCTTTGGTTAGAAAGGAGTTAAAATATACCATATAACCTAACAATAACACCCAGCAAGCCGTTCCAAATCATTAAATGAAGCTGATAAAAGGTCGTATCTTGCTTCACGAAAGCCACGTAATATAACGATAGCTACCTTCGAGCACTCAAATATCTAAATCGTGATTTTTGAAAGAATCAAAAATTTTTATTCGTAAGGCTTCAGTTGATCGATCCTTCAACTCACGCCAGAGCCCTTAATGTAATTTTACTCGAACGAAAACTCGTTTAACAACGAGAGAAATCGTACGTTTTAAAATAGAAATCATTATGAAGGAACACACTTTGAGCTTTTCCTTGCGGGTTGGCTCTCTCACCCGTGACCAAGCGTGACAAGGACCCTGGGAACGAGAACGTCCGAAAGATGATGACATGCGTATTTAGTCCCTAACTGAGCGAGTGCAGCGCCGTGTGCGAATAAGCCATAGAGAAATTGGTGGTTTATCTCTGCTGTAAAATTAGACACTGTCACACGTAGAACTTACTGTTTTTTCCCAGCTGATGATAAATGGTTTAGGGATGGAAAAAGGAAAGTCGTTGGAGCGTGGTGACGAAGGAAATTGTGATGACGATCAGGGATCTCAAATTGAATGTGATGATCACGGGGATCTCTTGGATGGGGAATTTTACAGATCGAGAGAGTTTTGGATGATGGTAACAATTCAAGGAAGCCCAAACCATTCCAAATTTTCAGTAACTCATTACGGATTAGCTCTGTTAGTGGATAAAAGAGCTTGAACACAATTATCTATAATTTTTATGCAGGTTCATGAAAAGCAGAGTAAAGGGTTACCATGGAATAGAGCTGTGGATGAAGTTCGAGTTGAAAGACTTATTCAGAGTTACAAAGTTAATGGGAAACTGGACGGTGAAGACCCAGCACTTGTGATGTTAAAACATTGGCCAGCATCTAAACAGTACAAGGATAAACCTGACAAACTTCCAGGCCTCGAAAAGCTGGTATGTTGAATATAATTATGGGAATGCCGAAAAGGAAATGTGTTTATACACTTGTAAATGTGCAGGAAAATAGCAGCCAGTATGTGGTTTGCCGTTTTTTAATTTTGCTTCCTATTTTGATAAAAAGGCATACTAAAGAATTTTTGAAGGGCTGAGAAGTGGACAGCATAGTCCTGCATTTCTCCAATGAATTATGATGCAAAGTTATTGAATTTCATTGCATTTCAAAATGCATGTTGTTTGCAGGTGAATCAATTTTTGGAGATAATGTTAGATAGTGAACTAAACTCAGGAAACAAATATGAGCTATTCAAAGATGAAGAAGACAAAATGAGGAAAACTTTGTTGCACTATTCTGCTGAAGTTGGGTTTTTACAAATCACCAAAACACTCTTAAAGAAATGTCCTGGTCTGCTGGAAGCAAGAACAGAACTTCAAATAATACCCAAGAAAAAAAGAGCCATGTTAGCAGTTGAGTTGGCATTGGCTGCAGAGAATGATGAAGTGGCAGCTTATTTGGTTAGAGCAATGTGGCATGAGAGGTATTTTGTTGTGCCCTGCTTGCTGCTAGATGGATGTACTCTCTGATTATAGTTCTTCTGTTATTCACCTTACAGATTACACAAAGAAGATTAAGGCTCTATATAGGACTGAATGGTGCAGAAATTTTCATATTAGTCACTTAACATAATAACATTTCCTATTTTTACAATGAACATATATTCTATGTACAAGGCTCAAACATTTTAATTTTTTCTAATCTTTTAGCCTTGTATATAGAATATACTTTACTAAGTGAACATTAGGGACACAGTGAACAGGATAGTAATTTGTTTTCCTTTTTTCTGAATCTGACTTAACTCTATTCTTTTAGACATTTCATCTTTTACTCATGGTTCTATGAACCCACTCACCAAATGATTTTTATTCCCACCATTTGATAATGACTCTGTCATATTCAAATTTCTCTATGCATATAGTGTTACAAGATTATTTTCTTGGAGACCAGGAGACATGTCAAATCCAGAACCATCCTTCTTCAGTTTTCAGGCCATCATTGAGAATCCTAAAATGAAGGTGAGACTTAATAGGACCACATGATCAATACTCCTGCAAAGCATTTCTGGAAATATTGATTTATAGCTAAGTACCAATCAAATTTGTGATGTCCAGTTTACACAATCTACCAGCTTGCCATCCAAGGGGATTATATAACCATTCTCTTTCCCATTGAATTACTTGTTAAAGTTAAGTTAAAAATTAATTAAATTAAAGTAATTGATGTAGAAATTGTGTTGTTAAACTCAACCACTTTGAACACTTATTAATCAACACCTCAAACATGACCTGATTAAGGCTTTGCATCTGTAGTAAGGTGTGTTTTCTGTTTTAAAAATATTGATTGATGTTCTAAACTTTAAATTCATCTATTATGCCCAGTAGTTGCTCTGATAATGATTTCCAGAACTCAGTTTTCAGAGACAGACATGCAGCTGTTAAAAAGATGTTACAACTAATGGCCTCTCTGAATAGATTGCAATGTAAATTGAAATTTCTTTAAATGCAAATGTATCCTTTTGTAACATAGAAGATATTTTTTTCAATATCTTGTGGCAAATGACTTGTGTCAACAGAAAACAGTTGTGGCTCTATTAGATCAGATGGTGAACCCACACTGGCCTTACCTTCCAAAACGCAAGGACACTTATGTCTCCCAAGAAGAAAAGAAGGGAATTGAAGGAGTCTGGAAGACAATCCCAGAAGATCCACTGAATTATTATTTTCATTATGCTATCCTGGATGGTGATGGGGGTGGTAGACCACCAAAAGTTACGTTATCAGAAGGACACACAGAGTCAGATAACAAATATTTCAACCATAGAGATAAGTCGTGCTTGAACATGATTGCCAAGAGTACCAATAAGGTAATTAATCCTGATTTTAATTAATGTATATGCAGTATGTTGTTTGCCTTTGAACAAAAAAAATTGGAGAGACTAACACCGTGGAAATGTGTTTTTTAGGGCACAATACAGTATTTTACTGGTCAGCAGACAACAAAATCATAAAATGCTGATAAACTTTAACAATGTTTTCACTGTGAGTCTAGTCAACAGTGTAAAAAGGCAAAACTTAGAAAGAATACTATAAACTTAGCTTGGAAACTCGACTCACCTTTTGGATGGTTCTTATTCTCAATCATATATTTTGCCAAAGCCGAACTGAAGTGTTATATGATATGAAATTGTTGTATTTTGCTGGTGGCTCCGTGGCAACTAAATGTTGTTTATAAAAGAGCTTATGCACTAGGGCTAAATATGAGATGGTTTTTGAATGGCTGAGGTGGTGATCTGTTAGGATGTTGCATTACCAAGTTTGTACTTAAAGCAGTGGCTTCAACCATATAAATCGGCATTTTGGTCAGATCTGTCGAGAAGACAAAACATAGGTGCTCATGTAAGTAGCATGGCCATCCTATCCCCACTCGTTGTTACTGAATGGTGTATCAAGTTGGCCAAAACAGTTCTACATATAAACCTGGGACACACTTATGTAATGTGTGTAGGATTCGGAAGCCCCCAAAGTACAAGCACTGGCCTCAAAAAGAGGAAGAATAAACCAATTAAGGTATGTTTTGAGTACAAAATAAATAAAGTTTTCACTTTCCACCTTTGTTGTTGTTTTTCTGAGCAGTAATTATTTCTACTTTCTCAACAAGCATTTAATGTTTCCCAGCACAATTATGGCTAGTTTGTAGCATGTCTTTTCTTTTGTGGTACTTTTCCCTCTAATTATTTCATTTTATTTCTTTATTTTTGCTTTTTCTTTCCTTTCTTTACTAACCTTAGCTGCCACCTGCAACATAAAATGTACTGAGCTAATATAGTACCTCTGGTTTATTTACTTCCCTGATTCACAAAATAACATTACCATCTTGGTTACTAGTGGAAAACAAATTTTTAATAAACAAAAGTAAAGTAAATCAATTATTACAATTTAAATTAATTGGTTTATATGAATGAAGAATTGTATTGTCTTTTCTTATATTGCAACAGCCTTGAATGAATTAACTGTCTTCTAAACTTGATTTCTTATACTAGAGGCTATTTAAGTTATCAACCAAAAAACTCTTGTTGGGTGTTCATGGAGGTGATGATGGTGGTAGCAAAGAACATGATGATTAATTTAACTGAGTGGAGTGCAATTTGGGCTAAAATCATATGCCGATTTCAAAATCGAACGAGCACGCAGTGCAAGTGCGATTTCGAATCACAAGACATGATTTCAGACCAAAATTGCACGACACAAGGTTCAATTACCACTTTATTACATCCATTTTGAAATTGCCCAAATGCAGGACTTGGTTGATTCAAATATGTTACAGATACAGTACTGAGCCGGTTTCTTAATAAAAAGCAGACCCGGAAACACTTTTACATCTCATTTTGTATGCAAAATGGAGAGACTTTGATGTCATGTGTCATAAACTCAGTCAAGCGTAAAATGATGCGATTTAGAGCAAAAAATGGTGCGATTTGTGAATAAATCGCACCAATTAGAGCCAATCAGATTACAGGGACCACCAGTGATTTCAAAATGGATGTAATAATGGTGATTAATCTCCCAAATTAGAAATGTCAGGGGAAAATTATCTGCAGTATTTCAAGTCAGACCTGTTTGTTAAAAAATGTTTTCGAGAAAATTGATTAGATTAAGTCAGCTGTTTGATGAGATACATCACTACATTTTGTTGATGTCACACTGGTCAGTGGTCATCAACTTTAAGGTTGTCAAGGGCTTCAATGTGTTGAGTAAGTTTGATGAAACTATTGGTTGTTTGCTTGGTTTGAAGTCGGAAAATATCCTTAGTACTTCTCATTATTTGTTAGATTTGATTCTTTGAATGGGTTTTTAATATATGCATATTGCTGAAACTAGCTGAGAATTGCTTGTTAACTACAACTAGCCTGCATACAACTGCTCCCCTCCCTTGTAATAGATTGAGAAAAGGACATCTGTGTGGTGCTGTTGTTGTTCAAGTTTGGGAATGTTCCTTCCAGGATTTTTATTTGCCTGGATGGGCACAGCTGTACACAGGCTAATTACAAGCTTTTGGTTTTCTCACAACTTTGATAATTTTCCCCTGACATTTCTAATTTGGGAGATTAATCATCATACTTATTGTGTTCTTTGGTACCACCATCGTCACCTCCATGAACACCCTGCAAAAGTTTTTTGTTCCATAGCTCAGATAGTTTCTGGATATAAGAAATCAAGTGTAGAAGACATTTGATTCATTCAAGGCTGTTGCAATACAAGAAAAGATGATACAGTGCTTTATTCACATAAATCACTTAATTTAAATTATAATAATTATTTTACCTTACAGTACTTTTGTTTATTAAAAATTTGTTTTCTACTAGTACTGAGATGGTATTTGTTACTTTGTGAATCAGGGAACTAAATAAACCAGAGGTATTCTGTTAGCTTGGTACATTTTATGTTGCACGTGGCAGTTAATTAGTTAGTAAAGAAAGACAAGAAAAAGCAAAACGAAAGAAATAAAATGAAATAATTAGAGAGGGAAAAGTAGCATAAGAAGAAGACATGCTACAAATAATCCATAATTGTGATAGGAAACAAATGCTTGTTGGAAACGTAAAATAACTGTTGCTCAGAAAAACAATAACAAAGGTGGAAAGTTAAAACTTAATTTGTTATCAGTAAAATGGACATTTTGTACTTAAAACATATACCTTGGTTTATTCTTCCTCTTGTTGAGGCCAGTTTGTGTACTTTGGGGGCCCCCAACAGGGGCATATCCAGGAATTTATTTAAGGGGGGGTCCAAACTTTGGTTCGGAAAGGACTGTTGGACTTATTTGAGGCAAATTACTTCTTCCCCGCACCCCCCACACCCCCTCCTACCAGTCGCGGTTGCACGTTATAATTCCTTGGCCACTTACCGTTTACTTGGATTCATTATTTAAAAAATCAGTCAGTTAAAAAGTGATATACGATCCTGTGGATGTAAGAATTTCAGTCTCAAAGTTGTAAGCGTCAGGTCTGATAGGGGGGGGTCTGGGCCCCCCGGATCCTCCCCCTGGATTCGCCACTGCTCAATCTTACACATGTTACAGCAGTTTGTTCCAGGTTTATATCTAGAACTGTCTCGGTCAACTTGATACAACATTCGGTAATAACGAGTGGGGATAGGATGGCTGTGCTACTTATACACGAGTACCCATGTTTTGTCTTCTTCTTGACAGATCTAACCATAATGCCGTTGGCATGCTGATTATATGGTTCAAGCCACTGCTTTGCAGAGGTGGTAATGCGATGTTTTCGGATTACCGCCTCAGCCATTCAAAAACCGTCTCATTTTTTAGCCCAAGTGCATAAGCTCTTTTATAAACAAAGCTAAGTTAGTTGCCACGGAGCCGCCGCAGCGAAAAACAACAATTTCATATCGTGTGCAACTTCAGTTCGGCTTTGGCAAAATATATGACTGAGTATAAGAACTATCCAAAAGGTGAGCTTAGTTTCCAAGCCCAGTTTGCAGTATTCTTTCTATTAAGTTTTGCCTTTTTATGCTGTCGACTATACTCACGGCGAGAACACATTGTAAAAGTTATCGTCATTTTACGGTTTTGTTAAGGTGTCCGCTGACCGGTAAAATACTGTATCGTGCCCTAAAAAACGTATTTCCGCGGTGTCGGAAAGACTGTTCTCAAGGGTGAAAAATTGTTTACTGGGTAAAGCCAAGCTGGTATGATAGATTTGTAGTTGCCCCTAAGATTCTGTCTGACTTTGAATTGCAGGAGGCTTTGCAACATCCAGTGGTTAGAATGTTGGTTAAGACAAAATGGAAACGTTATGGACATTTCTTCCTCAGGTAAATAGTTTTTACCTTCCTTATAATGTTTGTAAGGTTAGATCACGTATCCAGCCCACAGGTGTAGTGCAGGGTCAGGAAACTAAGACATAATCCTCCACCTACTTGGAAAAACACTTTTATTTGTAATCTAAGTAACCTTAAATAACTTTAAATTGATTCACCAGGTTTGCATGATTTTTTAAACTTGATTTGTATCTTGTTCCTTGTAGAGTTTAATTAGGCTGTTGATATATTAATGTTCTTTTTTTTTATACTTAGCCTTCAGACAGTATTGTATGCCATCTTCTTGCTGTTCTTGTCATTTTCTCTGCTATATGGGTCAACCAAACCAGACCCCACCCAGTACAGGGGTGCAGCAGATTTATGGTGTGGATTCTGTGAGATTGTCACTCTGCTCATGGCTGTCTTTTACATGTGTGAAGAACTGAATCGATTGAGAATGTAGGTGATATATAATGCTGATAACACAGGTAATTACACTGAGACTAATCTACATAACATCATTGAAGATACATTTGTTGGTTCAATCATCCACGATTGGTTTCCCCCATGAGAAAAACCATTTTTGTTAAGCAAATGTGCTACATATACTGAATGTTTTTACAACAAAGATCAAAACTTGTGTTCATGAATAAAGCTCTCCCAAAGGAAAAGATCCAATGGAGGGATTAATATTTTTCGTGTCATTTTTGTAGAGGAAGATATTCCTACTTCTCAGAGTGGATGACCCTGTTTGACTGGTTAGGCCTGTTATTGGTCCTGTGTATAATTCCCTTACGGTTCACTGGTAACAAAGCTCAGTGGACTGTTGCATCTTTGGCAGTCTTGTTTAATTTCATGAGGATTTTTAAGTTCTCATGTGTAACAAGGTAGGTCACTTTAAAAAAATCTTTAATTTTAAAGTTTTGAAACATGCTTCATTTCAGTTAGAGATTAACCTTCAGAGATGGTTTGATGCTACCCTGGTTTGAAGATTGAATGTAACCTAGACGTTACAATTTATAGACCAAATGTTCCGAAACTCCTTTCTAGTGTCTATCTTAAACCATTAATAGCCACAGCTTTTGAGAAAAACTGTGTTTTGAAGCTAGTCGAGCAGATTTCAGGTCACTGTTGTGGTTTTAAAAGCTCAAACTTACCCCAAACCCATGGAGAGCTTATACACTCGACGGTATTTCGATCCAAATGCAAAATGGTGGCCTGAAAATCTCGGGCACGCACAGAAAGCAAAATTTCAAAATTCTCTTTCTCCAGGCCTTTTTTTCCCCTTTCCTTGCCTGAAGTTTCTCCTCACTTGCTGGAAATTTAGTAGGCTTCATTTTGGTGTAGAGATTTTTTAGGAAACTACTCATTATTTTCAAACCACATGCTCAGAAAGGTAGGTGGGTAATGGAACAAGATTTTCGTGCAGATTCTCAGGTCAAGGTTACATGTTTTTTTTGGCTATTTCTCCAATCTCCTCTCAATTGCGCTCATTCTGGCATCGTTTGTAAGATATTTTCAACCTGTTCAAGTACGTGCTCAAAGTCGTCCTCCGGGGTTAAAAGTGATGACGTCACAAGGCGTAGAAAGGGTGAGGGTCCACATGGGTGCTTACGGGCGCACTGGACGTCAATAGGTTAAGATTGATGTTCCCGCTCGCCAATTTCATTTAGCAACGATTAACATTAACCAATCAAAGTGGTTGTGAAATAATTTGGATATATTCGCTTCGACGAAGGGCTAATTTACCATTTCAACTTTGTTGACATATCCAAATTATTTCGTTACTCCCACTGACGCAGGCCGAAACAGTTTCTTTCAAAACTATCAGCCTTTAAAGTGGTTGTGAGCCTCTGATGTCGCATGTTCTTGTTAAGATGCTTTTATCTAATCCTATACATGTTTTGTTTTTTTAGGTTTATGGGGTTGGGTAAGGTGTTTGAACCTTGTAGGGTATGCTATATCCTTTTGTTCTAACACCTGTTTATATTCGATATGTACAAATCTTGAAATAAACAAATAAATAAATAAGGATCAGTGTCAAAGTAGCCATTTATCGATCGCGAAGCGCTGTATCTGGCTTTTCTTTTTCCTGTTGTTTTGCGTTTTTTTTAAGGGAGGTTTTAATCATTCCAGAGTTTAGTTTATCTTCAGTTCTCAAACAGTTTACTTATACGAACAGTTCAGATTTAAATTAAGCCCAGTTGGTTACCCTTACTCAGACTTTCATCTTTTCCAGGACTACAGGACTGTACACAAAAACTCTTGCAAAGATCATTCAGCAAGACTTGACAAGATTCATGGCAGTTTTTGTTGCGATTTTCCTTCCATTCTGTGGAGCCTTGTTTTTATCTCTCCGCTCATCCAATCAAAGCCAAGAATTAAGGTGCATCGAATAATTTTATTTACTTCTCATTTCTTCTTATCTGAACTTAATTTTAGTTATTCTGCGGGAAAAAAATGTATAATGCTTTTAGCTTGGCAATTTTGAAACCATTCGTTCAGCTTTGGAGAAATACAGTGCAATTTCCAGGAAGACTAATTTAGTGTACTCGACAGGAAAATGTCCTGAAATGTTGTTCACGTTATTTTGAATCTATTCTTTGCATTTAGTGGCTTTGGAGATGTATTATTAAGCGGTGTTCGTGCCCTGTCCGAGCAACGACCCTTTGTAGCAGATTTTTCAAGCTTCAAGTGAGTGACTCCGACTTAAGTAATAAGTAATAACTGAAAACCCGTACTCGTAATGATATTATATGCAATAGTCCGCCCACGCTATACAATATTAATCTCTCCGATCTTGCTTTTTTACCCGGTGTGCATGCTGTAGGGAAACGAGTTGAACTATTTTGGGTTTGAACCGGTAACAGCGGGGAGCGAAGTTGTTTTACTGCAGGGGGCGAACTCGCAAAGGCACCGGTGGAAGGTGCGAACTTGCAGTAGGGCAAAACCCTCAGTTACCGCAGTATGCTTATACCTCATAAAGCGTTGGGAATCTTTGTTTTCTTGCAGTTGGCTCTCCATGCTGTTGATGCTAATGTACATGGGAACTGTACTTGTGATTTTGCTCAACATACTCAT